TATATATATATATGAAAAAGGTGCTTTACATCTTGTTTTTCCTAAATTTTTTTGAAAGATCTATGTAAAAATCTACCTTCAAATTAATAATTTTAAAAACTAATTATTGAATTGAAAATTTTATTTATATAAATCATGCATATCAATTTTTATATTGATCTAAGGTGCATAATTAATCTGTTAATTATATAAAATTTAATACAATTAAATTTAAGTAAAAAAAAAGTTTCATTTATGAAAAGATTATAAATGTTTTACCAATATAAAAATTGAAATGTATAATTTATATAAATAAAAATTTCAATTTAACAATTAACTTTTAAAATATTAATAATATAGTTTAAAAGTAAACTTTTTCGATAAATCATCAAAAAGTTTTAAAAAGATAACCTATATTAAACTAACCCTGTTATATATATTTTTGATGAATTTATTTTGATCTTACATCTTTAGCCATTGTTTTGAATTTAATAACTGATAAATCAAATTTAATGCATGCATGATGGTTATTTTTGTTGTTAACACTAACACTGATTTGGTTAAAAGGGGAATGACCTCCTCGCAACCTCCAGATATTTGTTTGACTATTATTAGGGTTGTAATCTTCCACTTATGAGGTGGGTTCCTCTTGGTCATAGCTTTACCCTGTAGCATTCAAAATGATAAACTTTCCAAGAAACTGATGAATTTGATGTTGTCATTGGATCATTGGACTCATTAGTGGACAGCACATTAAAAAGTAGAAAAGCAATTGAATCCAGCTGCCTCAAGTCAAACACAGACAAAAAGGCTGAGCCTAACAAGTTGGGTTAGGGTTGGTCCACAATACCCACCCTAAAATTTCCCTTTGCTTTAGCTTTATTTCTCAGCAACCAAACAGGCCCATCTCTTCATTGCACGCATAAGATCAATGCTCCATGAAAACTAAGACCAAGAAGAAACCCCATGTGGACAAATATCATATGGACAAAATGGAATGGCACGACAATTGCTTCAATCATCATTACATTAACAAGCAGAAGCTAGATGCTTATACATGTGTCATACCAAATCTGAGCGACACGCAATATTAAATTAAATAACGTATTGCTTTTGTTATTGAAAAAGCTTCTAGTGCTTGATGGCGACACCCCAATGGTAACAGTCTGAGTTTTGCTGTCAAATTGCAATATGATTGTGGTATTTAGTGCTGCATATTCAGGAAGTGGAAGCAATCATATTCACAAGTGAACAACATTCCAATGTTCTTCGGTAGCTGTGAATACGAGTGCTACCCTTTTGCGAAAGGACCTATATTAGAGTACATGGTGTGGATGATCATTCATTTTTCAGACAGTATAATAAAGCTTGATTTCAAGGGTCCATATATGATAAAATGATGATCTTGAATGTGTGTGATTAACTTTTTGATTCCTATCAAACAAGAAAGGTATTGGTAAGGTAACACAATACCATAGTTTCAAATGATTGTGATCTACCTCTACGGTTGTGCACTAATTAACTCTATAGCTTTCTCCTTCCATCCACCACAAATCAGCTAGTGTAGTATTCTCCATGTAGCAAAAGTCAAAGTATGCTCTATCACCAAGATCTATGCAGAACTGTATTGAAGCTTTTGGATGCTATTCGATCTCATACGCTTATTGTAATCATATCAGCTTGCCTTTTCAGATACAAGCGAGACAAGATCTTCCTTAGCCTTTCCTAGGGCATTTGGCAGATTCTCAGGCTTCCATCCACCTGCTTGAGCAAAATTGGGACGGCCACCACCTCCTCCACCACACAGCTTAGCTATAGGACTTATAAATTTTCCAGCCTGAATACCCAGATCAACCACCGTTGGAGTGAATGCAGCAACTAAACTCACTTTCCCTTCACCTGGACAAGAGCCTAGGATTATCACAGCTGGATCTTGTAGTGTCTCAATCAGATGCTCAGCAGCACCTTTTAGTGAATCAGCATCAATATCATCCATGGGCTCAACTAGTACCCTAGCATAAAATGTTGGAGAACCAAGAAATCCGAAATATTCAACATGTTCCATTATATAGCAAATGTTGCTTGACCCTTTCAAGTGGAACTTTTTTTATCAACTTCAAGTGTAAGACGAAAAGAAAACTATCAACTCTCATTAGCACTTGAAGGTAAGAGTTCCTTGGAACTGAAAAGAAATGCAACAAGTAAACAAAAAGACATATGGAAATGAAGAAGCCCGACCTTATCTTCTTTGAGGTTCCCACTGGGAAGGCCTTTCTTGCAATAATTGATGCTTTATAGGCTGCAACTTTTTCACGCAAGGCAGAGACTTCGTTTCTTGCCATTCATAGCTCCTCCATGAGATTTGCTACCCTGGTTTTTACTTCTTCGGCTTTGACCTTCAAAATACCCAAGTTAAATAGCATTCAAAAACTCTATGCTGCTAATGTGAGGATGTTTTACCATTTATGTACCAAAAGTATTCAAAAATGAAGAAACCATCTGCTACAGAAATTGAAGTACTCAGAATTTAAGGCTTTACTTTGAGGATGGAGCATAGGTTCTTCATGTGGGAATCCCTGCTATTGATATATTCAATGAATGCTTCCCCAGCAACAGCTTCTATACGCCTGATTCCAGATGCAATCCCCTTCTCTGAGATTATTTTAAAGACACATATTTCAGAAGTATTGCTGACATGCGTTCCACCACAAAGTTCCATGGACACACCTGGAACCTCCACAACACGAACCTGCGACACATTATGGGAAAAATTAGCACGAACTGGTTGCTTTCAGCAATACCAAAAGTGCCAGCATTACATAAGGCAACCCACCAAGAGCTTGTAGTTGTAAAAGATAAGCAAGACTATGACAAATTCCACAGAGAGCCTTTTAATTTAATTAAAATCCCAATTTCCTCTTACCCCACACATGCAGAAATCTGAAAATGGTATATGCCTTCTGCAATTGAGACTTAACAAACATAAACATGCTTATGTACTATTAAGACCACATCAATTATTGTTGTTCAAGTGTAGTCCAATATTTATAAGACGGTTACTAAACCACAGTGGAACTTGCACCTGAGGTAAGAGAATGATGTAAGAAAAAGTTCATTGTTTTAATGAACCATGTGTATACTTTCTCACCATATTTTTCCCCAAACATTGCAATAGCACCAGCTTCTTTTTCATCTGCAACAGGCATCACTTTTGTCTGAAGAAGTGTTGAATCCCCAATCCATTGATTGATTAGTTCTTCAATCTCTTGGAGCTCATCATCATGAACAGCTCGGTGGAAGTTGAAATCGAACCTGAGACGGTCAAAAGCCACCAATGAACCTGCTTGGGATATCTCCTGGCTAATTACTTTCTTAAGTGTAGTTTGTAACAAATGGGTAGCAGTATGATGAACCTAAAGAATGCCAGAGATGGGTTAAATGATAAATGACAAAGTATAATGGCTGCAAGAAAGATGCTGAAATGCCTAATTGTCAATAGCAAGCATTGAGTAATGGTACCATCTGATAAATTTTACTATTAGATTTCTACTTTTGGAAGCGTTTTAAAATAATTGATGCAAGTATTCAAAACAGGTTAGAAATTATTTTTTGGCCATTAAAACTAATTAGAATTTCAAAAATGAAACTTCTATTAACTTATTAATTGGAGAAATTAAAATAAAGAATCTACAATTGGTTAGTTACTACCTTAGCCCACTGCCTTAATTTTACATCTATGGTAGCTTCTACTTCTTTCCCAACTTCTAGAACCCCATCTCTGACAGTCCCCTTATGAACAAATTTGTTGCCCAGAGACTTTTGGACATCCTTAATCTCCACAACAGGTTTCCTTCACTAACATAAAGAAAACCATGATCTCCAATTTGACCACCTGACTCTGCATAAAATGGTGTCCTATCCAGCAGAACCTCAAGATCACTTCCTTCAGAAACATGTATCACAGGCTTTCCTTTTACCAGGAGGCTTTCAACCACTGCTCAAGCAGAAAGACTGTCATATCCTATAAATTCAGTATCAGGAAGCTCTTTTCCAAGATCATTACCATCTTCAACTGAAAGTTTAACAACATTATGAGCTGCCTGAGATTGACGCCTTTGATTTTCCAGCTAAACATCAAAACCCTTCCTATCTATAGTGACACCACGTTCTTGAGCAACTTCTGTTGTTATCTCCACAGGAAATCCATATGTGTCATATAAAAGAAAAGCATCTTTTCCAGACAAGCAAGGGGGTAGTTCCATGTTCTTCAGCATTAGACAATGCACCCATTAGCATTTGGTCAAGCAATTTTTCTCCTCTCTCTAGCGTCTGCACAAAACAAAGTTCTTCCCTCCTCAACTCTTCAAGAATAAAGGCTGCTCTGATCTTGACATCTGGATTTATATGGGTACTTAAATCTATTGCTTTCTGTGCAATGACAGGCAAAACTGCTCCTTCAAGGTTATCCCTCACATCCCCATTAATACCAATAGACCTGCCACTGCGAACCACCCTTCTAATAAGCCGTCTAACCACATAACCTCTGCCAATATTTGATGGAAGTACACCATCTTCGTATCTCCATCAAGAATCTAGAACTCAACAATCATTAATTTGTAGCTTCTAAAGCATATTATAACTAAACTTTGTAAATGGTATTGTGGACTACTATAGACCTCTGCCTAAACACGAAAAAGTTAGAAAAGGATTTCTACAACTTTTATCATCTTTTTTTTTTTTTTTTTTTTTTTTCCAAATGTTTGTTCCATATAAGTTTTGCCAGTCGATTTATGGCATTTAACAGTTTACCATGAACAGTTCACATCAATTCCTTCTCATTTAAATGACCCTTATCAACCATCAAAAGGAAGCAGTTCACTCTCAAGTTAATGCATACATAAGCTAACCTATTTTAATATGGATTGAATATACTAGAAGTGGATGCAACTGCTAAACATAATATTGAGGAGCATTTTAATATCCTCTTTTACATCTAGTTTGTCACATGCTTACATACTGTAGCTTAGAAAAATTCAATTACAATATGGTATAATGAAAAGTAGTGCTAATGACTACCTAGAAGTATCAGTTACTTTACAGACACAAGCTTTTTAGAAAACTTATTACAAAGATGACAGAAACAGCTCTACGAAATCAATATTCTAACAACAATAGAAATAAACATTGATACTTACTAGTAAACAATGACAAAAAGCAGTTGCATGATTAGGCTAGATGATAAAACTTTAATCTTGTTATAAGATCATATAAGGGAATATGGTCTTGCACAAAGACAACTATCATTATGATTCATCAGACAACTTGTTTGCAATTTCTAAGTCATAATGGAACAAAATAACATTGTAAAATGCTGCAACAGACCATTAGGTGTCTGTATAAGGACCTTGCACCATATAAAAGTCCATTGAGTTTTATAAGAAAACATATAGAAAGTTTAATTTTTTTTTCTCTAGTTCTTTACCTAAATCATCAAAGATGATAAGTTCCAAGAAATTCATCAAGATTGCAAGGAGTTGGCAAAAGTTAGATGCCCTCAAGAGGAAGAGAATTACACAATCAGAATTTCCAGCAAATAAAGGCCATTTTGTAATCTACACTACCGACAAATAATGATTCATGATTCCATTGGAGTATCTCAATGATAGGATATTCAGTGAGCTCCTAAAAATGTTTAAAAAGCAATTTGGCTTTCCAGTAGATGGGCCTATAAGATTGCCTTGCGAGTCACAAATCATGGAGTACTTAAATCTTGTTAATTTCACGGGGTGCATCTAAAAAACTAGAGAAGATTTTCCTCGCATCAGTAGCTTCTAGCAATTGCCCAATGCCATCAATTTCCCATGAAGAACAAAGAATGCAACAATTTTTAGTTTGCATTTGTTACCTAAATTAGACATATCTTTGTAAATCATCTATGCATTTTATGCTTTAAACCAGTTGTGAAATTAGCTTGACATCAATATGTAAAAGGATGTTTAATGCATTGTATATCCAATAGTTCTTTAAGTTGTAAAGAATTATGAATCTAATCCCACTATAATTATTTAAGTGGCAAACCCTTTCTTGAAAGTCATTCTCAGTTTTCACAAATATGTTGGTCCTACCAACATTATGTTGCTAAATATATGGAGAAACATGAAGGACTAACTTTGCCTAACTTTGTTTGTAAATTGCATTTGGCTTAAAAAAAAAAAGGATTATGGAGAACCATATAATTGAAGCATAATATTATCAGACACTTGGCAAATAGGAAATGACATGGTGCCTTCTATATCTTCTCAACCTATATATGTGCTGTGATTATTTAATTATCAAATATAAGCAAACATGCCTACCTCCCATATAATCCCCACCACCTTGCTTCCACTTGATTCACATGGTTTTGCTTTCCTTGAGCTCGACATTGGAGTATCATTTGTGGAACTGTCATTGGCTTTGTGGATATATATCCATCCCACTTTCATTGCCCCCAATCTAGAACAGTAATAGCATTAATACCCAACGATCTCAAAGTGTCTTCCTTATATTCTATCTGAAAGTTTTTCATCATTATAAAGAGTATCAAGATGATTAGTGCAAGGAAGCTCATCAAATTGGCAAGGAAATGGCAGAACTAGCTGCCATCAAGTGAAAGAGAATAACATTGCCTAGGAATATTGTTGGTGATGTTGATGCAAATGGTTGCAGCACATCACTAGAGATTGAGAAGGGCCATTTTGTTGTGTGTTATGTAAATCACAAGCACTTTGTTCTCCCTCTAGAGTATCTCACGAAAGATATAATTAAAGAACTATTCAGGTTAGCTAAAGAAGAGTTTAGAATACCAAGCAGTAAGCCTCTCACATTGCCATGTGATGCAGCCTTTATGGAGTATGTGATTTCTTTGGTAAAAAGGCATTTTACCAAAGAAGTGGAGCAAGCATTAGTTATGTCCATTGCTAGTGGTCGTTGCTCTTCATCTTCACATCTCCATCAAGAATCCAAAACTCAACATTCATTAATTTGTAGCTTTTAAAGCATATTGTCTCGATTTTGTAAATATTCTCTTTGACTGTACATTTATGCCTAAAATTCATTTCTTGAAGATTTCTTTTCAATCCCATACTTTTTTAGTGTTAATATCAAACATCAAGTTAATTTTGACATGCACATAAAGGCAACATGGCTATTAATTAGATGAAAGAATTTTTTTTTTTTTACACAAAAAATAGTTAACTGTTAGTGTTAATATCTGTTTTGATGTATGTTGGATGAGTCGAACAGGTGATCTTCACTCTGCTCCTCAAAGGAGGAGCGTGACCCAACCAGTGGCGGGTCGCGTAGTGGAGTTCATAAATGAAAGGATATTATAAGAAGATATGGATGGAAATGGACCTAATTACAAAGATTAGGACAATAAAAGTTTTACACAAGAAAAACAAATATATCATTACAAAGTACAATACTTGGCCTTGAAGGATCAGAACCTAACTATTATAAATATCGGGCTATATTATACACACATAAAATATTAAAAATGTGTTTAATTTGTTTTATTTTATTAGTTTATGTCTATTAAAATATTTAAAAATATCAATTTATAAGATATTTGAAATTATTAATAATAAATATAAATTATTTTATTTATTAATAATTAATAATTATAATTATTAAATATTTTTAATAATTAAATTAAATACATTATATTATTTTTATGTGACCATAATAATTTTTTTGCAGTACGACAATTCCTAAATATTCTGTTTAAAGGACAACAAAGAGAAGATCCGTACAAATTTTAACAATACAATCTCCACATCATTGATTCAAACAATGATACTTTTTCTTGAAACTTTTGTTACAAAGTGGAATAATTAATGATCAAATAAGTTCTGTTCCATACAACTCTAGTGTTATTAACAAGAAAGCAAAGATTCCACCAGTTTTCTTTTTTATTTTTTTATGTTAGTTATACAATGGGAGACAATTTTTTCTCATTTTTTATCCAACTTTATCCGCATGTCATGCGACTTGAACTTATAACTTTTTACTTTCAACGAAAAAAGATTACCACTGAATTATTTAAATCATTGATAAGATTTCACCAATTTTTAGTACATAACATTACAATAAATTTTGACTTATTTTACGTATTGTTTAATGCAATTTTACTTATTGTTTAATGCAACTCAGTTCTAGTTTACATAATTAAATTAACAAGAAAATGAAAGAAAAGGTTCTAATGGAAACAGAAAAACACTTAATTTATTCGTTAATTACTATGTTATAATTGGATAAAGCCTTGGCTTGGGAGTACTATCTGTAGTTATAGGTTTTTTAGTCTTGTAATGTCATAAAATATATAAAATATATTTAATATATATAATATATATTTTAATTAATATTGTACATATTCTTATAATAATAAAAAAAT